AGACACTCTTACGCTGACGAAGGCAGCAGGTGCTGCCGAAAATTTCGTTGAATAAACGTACATGTCTCAAATTATGTCAAAGTGTCCGGCGTTTATGTTAACAACTGCAGTGTTATTTTATATATATATATATATATATATACTGTATTCATTAGGTTTACACAATATAGGTAAATATTAATAATAGTTCTAAAATAGGAACATTGTATATAATCGTATCAAGCATAGCCTACAACAAAACGTCCTTTTTCAGTTATGTGTGAAAACAATGTCTCGGATTCGAACCTGCAGCCTCTCGCTACTCAGGCGAGTGTCCAGCTTGCTGTATTTGATGCTCATGCGATATTAGTAACCATATCGAAATTGTGAGGTGAAACGCGTTGAGATTAATATTCTCTACAACGCCTTGGTCAAGTGGTAATGACGTTCGTCATGTATGGAAACAATTATTGGTTCGATTCCCGGGTGAATGCTGAGAGGCGTTCTTTGTCTGATTCCTCTTATGTTACATTTCAATATTTATACAGTAAATTTTAAGCTTACTGTGTACTGTACTTTAAATCATGAAGTGCCCCATCTACGACAAATGATATATTATTGTGATTGGTCAATACGACTCTCTCCAGTTTCCCAATAATGTGGCGAACTTCTAATTTTCGAATTAAGTTGACGGTCATAAACCACCGGTTTAGGGTTCCGACGACATGTGTGGAATTTGGTGATTTGATAACATTGTTTACTTTCTCAAAGTAAAACTGACAGAAGTGAAGTTGGATTGTTTTTGTATTAAAGATCCCGTGGACATTATATTTCATTTTCAAGTATATAGTAGCCTAGCCTAGGGCCTATCTTTCTATTTTTAAGGCTAGGCCAGGCCCATTTGTAAACAACAAATCTGGCCGGCTAGCTAGCCTAGGCCCAGAAGGCTACCGATTCTTATCGTTTGACAAGCTTAGGCTAGGCAGGCCTATCACCTTCCGTTACCAAGGAGCTGTTTACATTTCAACAGAAGTCTCGTCTGTGGAATATACCGGGTTTTTCTGTTTGTAACGATCGTACAAACAGAAAAAGGACTAGGCCTAGGAATGCATTCGAAAATAATGTCAGAAGAAATTAGCAGTCGTTATCGACAAGGAGACTTCAATGATCACTTCTCAGTTCTTCATGAGCTTGGGCGGTAAGTAAAATTAGGACCTAGGCCTACATTACTACTGGTAGTAACTTAATAACATAGCATAGGCCTAGGGCTAAAACCTACCCTACTAGTGGCTAAGTTGTGGACTAAAAGTTATCTAGGCCTAGGCCCTGGCGTGGTCCAAGGGCATCATTCAATCATAACTTCTTTATTTGTAAGGTAAGAGGGATCATACATCAGTCTAAAGAAGCCTAGGCCTAGTAGTAGTAGGGATACCTGCTATGACAATTCTCTGCATTATCCTTTTTATAGTCTTGTAGTTGTACTAAAAATGTTGGCATTGGCTATTGTTGTCACACCAGCACTGTCTGAAACACATTCTTACAAAGTTTAGAGTATTTTGAATACTATTTTATTGCATTGTTAAAGAGAATCAGTGTTTTTCAAAAACATTCTTTTGAATCCTTATTCATTACTTTAAAAAAAATACCTAGGCCTATTTCCTAATATTATTTTACTAAATAATAAATTATTCTAATTATTAAGCCAAGATATAAACACCAAATATACAGTACTTATTTACACTGTAATTTTTTTTATCTAGGATATCCTATCCCTCTTAACATTCCAGTGGTATTTTTAAGAACAAATTTGTGGTTTATTTCACATACCAGATGATTTGAGCAAGGTGTGATATAACAATTTTGTATGACCTATTGCAAATTCAAACAGATTTCATATGTCATAATTATCTACTGTACCAGTCATAGCAGTGACTGACTTCAATGAGGATACAGTACCGCCATTTTATAATCATCATGCAAGCATTGATTTTGCCGTACTTCATCGCATACAGTACTAGACTACGACTTGGGAGCATCCTTTTATTTACTTTAGGTTATATGAAAATCAATATTTTAATGTGAAGTAATGCATTATGATGTTACTCATCAAGGTTCCATGCATACTGTATATATAATGTAAATCTGAAATTGGTTTGTGTGCATATATAGTCATTTTTTTGGTTAATTAAATCTTTTCTTAATATATTCTTTGATCTTGAAATCTTGACAATTTTTTAAACACAAAATTAGCACAATTTTCAACCAATAAAATGAATTGTTTCTTCTCACTCGAAATTATCTACAAAATTAATAATACAATGATAACTTGAAATAAACATATATCTCAGTCACTCATTCTAATTTATTAGTGGACCATTGATTTCAAATAACAATTTTTTTTTAAGTGGCTAAATTTAAGCACTCATAGTCCACATTAAAATGTAACATTACTGTTATTAATTAATAATTCATTCATTCATTCATTCAATTTTATTTCATATTAAAATTATACAATCATAATAATAATACTGTAGGTTTGATAACTACCGTACCTTATCACTGTAATCAATCTGTATTTTTTAATGCAAGTTGCACTGCTTTTATTGTGTTAAAATAATATATACACTGCTATAAATTTAAATACCAGGAAGTTGTTAGCTCTGGATTTTTTTTTTTTTGGTTGTTGTCTTTACTGTTTTTCTATCCTGTACCCTCTTTCCCATCTTACCTCTGGTCCTAACATCTTCAGTCTCATTCATTGTCAAATTATGAATCCGAAAAATGCTTGTACCATAATTACAGGTACAGTCAAATAATTAAAAGCTCCTAAAATGTAAATAATTTATTTCTGATACTGTATTCTATTAATGAGTACAAAGTATTAAAATTGAGGTGAATTATTTGTTCAGTAAGTAGGTGATGTGTGTATAAACATGTGATATTTGATGTGAACCTGCTTCATGGAGCAATAAATGATTACACGGAAAGGATGAAGGTTGTATGTTATCTACCAAATTGTTTTCAGACAAGTGATTAAGGTTCATTTGTGTGCTATATGACAGCAGTACCTTCATTTCCTCTCATTACATACTGTAACCAATTGGCATGGCAGGCTGAATAACTATAGATTATTATTGTTATTATTATTATTGTTTTAGTTGAAGGCATGCTCCTTCATGGTCGTAACCAGCACAATAGTGATCATATAAAGTGAGGAAATATTGATCCAAAGGGTAAATGTACTTTCACTGAGTTGAAAACAATTTGAATTCTTAAAGTCTGCACAAGATAAGAATAAATCCAACAGCTTAGGCAGACGGTGACTCTTTAAGCTAAGCCATCTTTCTGGCCTTAATTGGAAGTCTTGGCATTGCGTTGAGAAGTAAATGGATTTAACATCAAGGGCCTTCATCAATATTTTCAGGATGCTATTATTAATTAACAACTACTAAAGTGAAAGGACTAGGTAATATTTGAATTAAAAGTGGTAGAGAATACGGTAGTTTATGTGTTATTTAACTACTAATTGTTAATAATAGGGATGGCCAGGCACAGTTACAGTGCCGTATGTAATGTAGGGGAACAAGAGTTCACCCTGATTGCAAATATAGTGGCTCAAGGTATCTAGAGTTTATTAAAATACAATTATGCAGTAACCTAATTAGCCATCAATCATCAATATAATTTGATCAAAATTGCTGTTACAGTAATAGCAGTTAAATTCAAATAATACAACTATATGCCTAATTTATGAATTAGTTGTATTTAAAAAGTATGTAAAAAAATACTATTTTAAATTTTAATAAAATAACTAAATATTTGAAGTCCCTGTATATTGCTCAATTAACTCATTTTCTGCTTTTGAAGGAGGAGTTAAGGATGTTTAAAGTGGCAATATATTATTATATTGCCTTGGAAATAAATAAAATATGTTTTGATAATATTCTCTACTGAAATCCTTGTAGGCCTACTGTATAGTACAGTTCTTCAATAGCATGTGAGACATGAATACTGTACTTTTTGTGCACTATGCTACCATATATAGTACAACTGTTACATGGACCACATGGACTTTATAATTGGTTATTAAACTTTATAACAGTATATAGTTGGCTACCATAACAATATCCAGGTGTCCCTCAAAACAGGTGTGAACAAGCCGGAGTCTAAGTTGCTACTTATTTTTTTCACACATGCTAGATTTTAAATTACTGTATTTTTTTCTCATAACATCAACTTGTATTTTAGCCATTGATCAGTACTAACATTATTGAAAGGATTTTGTGGCTCTTGGATTATAGTGTATTTTCGGCCATCTGCCATGGTCTTTTGTCCACTAATCATTAGAACACAGGCTGACTTAATCCCAATGATGACATGTTAGTATGGTAGTTTTCTGAGCGTGTATGATTCAGTTCAGTTCAAGTGAAGCTTTATAATTTTAAGCTTAGCTACAGTATGTTGCTATAACTGTACTCTAATAGCATTGAATCGGGAAATAAAATGGCCCTGTGTACAGATTGCTTTTAAAAACTTGTAAACATGAGGTAAACATCCTGTATTATTAATGACAGAAATTAGTGTGTAGGGAGTGTAGGTTGACGGAAATTAGTGTGTAGAGGGAGTGTAGGTTGTAATCAATATTGTTTATAATGGTGAGTCATCAAGTAATTAATTTATTATTAACACAGACTTAGCTATAGTACTGTAACGCTTAACAGGTTCCCTTTAAACATAGGGTAATTCAATTTTTTGTTCTCATTATTTTTAAGGGAAGTTGAAAACATACCTCTTACTTGCTCACCGAAATGTAAAGAGTAAATTAAGAGATGTTGCAGCAGAATAGTGTTCAATGGGCAATGTGAGCTTAACCACCTACCTTCAGTTTTTAAAAATTTAAAAAATCTACCATACTGTTTCTGATTGCTTTTTGTTGATTAGAATATTTGTAAATAATATAGTATAATATAAGAAAACTAAATACTATATCATGATAATGATTAAAAAATGCTTAACTTAATCTTATAAAATCGTATATAAATTAATGCAAGTTGTAGAATCTGTCAGAAAAACAAAGCACTGGCAGACAAATTTTGCATTAAAAAATGTACATTTTAGAAATGAATCGCTTAAGTACCAATCTCCCATCTCATTGATTGTACAACTGGGATTCATGGATTATTCGCAGAAAGGTGTGCATGATAGCTTGAACATATTGTGCACTGCACAGTGCTGCATTTCTGTAGTGTTCTTTGAAATTAAAACTATACTGATGTTTAATTACACTATGTATGTTTGAAGATGATTTATGGTACAAGCTTTCCAACTCAACTGTTGTGGACCATGAATAAGTGACTGCTGTAATTCATCAAAATTATAATTTTATTTCTCTGCAGTGTTTATCTACAGTAACACAAACATTGTAACAAGCTAATTATATTAGATTTTTAAAAATTAAATAAATAATTAGTTAATATTAAATTGACATTACAATAACTGTAATTATTATGTTAATAGAAAAAGATAATTGGTAAATGCAATGGTAATATAGTACCTCAGTAGTAAAATATTAATATTGTATTGTAGAGCTCAACTAAATTTTAGTTTTTTTGCCTGAAATACTGGTACAGTTGCTGTCTGAGATCTATTTATCTAGGAACCACCTTAGAATTTCTCACGGTATTGACTCTCAATAGAATTATGCTGAGAAGATTATACATAGAATAATAATGCATGCTCTCAATGCCTAATGCATCGTGCACTTTTCGCACAGCTGAGCAGAATTATGTATGAGCGACCGAGGTTTTTTCTCCTGTTATTTGCTTCTTCCCGTCTTTTGGGAATTCTTACCGCCTTTAATCTTGAGCAGAACCAAGTGGAGGTTCGAGTGACCTCATCTTGTCTGCTAATGCATCCCTTTTGGGTGAATTCTCTTCTTTCAGGTGTGCACAGTATGGTCACGATGGATCATATCATATTAGCATCATTCACAATGCCAACTGAAAGCTACATGCTAAAAGATGGCGGCAGCATTCCTGCATTACTACAGGTTGTTTTCACTGGGGACAACATTCTCAACAAACAGGAGGTCGCGGTGGAACTGCACCATTTCATGATACAGTACTGTATTTGATGTGGCAGTCCGTCACACATATTATAACAGTGCATTTTAATGGTCACTGAATTTGTATCTATAGT